CCAGAGTTTTAATTGTAAATTAAATCTTTTGAAAATGTAGTAAGACTACGAAACATGTCAAGAATAAAAAATATTGTGATTTTTATTAAATTTTTTACAAATTTATTTCTAATGCTAATAATGTTTGAAATATTATATATATATATATATATATATATATATATATATATATATATATATATATATATATATATATATATATATATATACATATATATATATATATTTCAAGGCCCCAGACTTGGACCTTGAAATGTATATATATTTCAATGTACCTAGGGCCACCATCTGTTAAACCTAGGACTGCTCTCTGAAAAATAAATTTAATTCCATAATAAATAAGCAGCTACAATAGACACATAAATTTTATTTAAAATTTGTTTAATCTCAGATTGTTTTCAACAAATTTATCTAATGTTAATTAGAACTTCTAAAATTTAAAAATGTTTAACCTTGATAGTTCTGAGTGAAATTGATTCTACGTGTAAAATGGTAATCCCAAAACAACCGCGAAAAAAAAATAACGCCCTGCTACAATCGAACTTTAATAATCTTTCTCGTGATTAAATAAATTCTTCATCAGTAAAAACACATATGTTTAGGCATAATAAAACTATATGGCCCTAGTTACAACACTTGATACCCTCATGAAAAATGTCGGATTAAGAAAAAACTTATTGAACATTGCATTTCATACATAAGTAATAAACAAAGTAATATACAAGAACCTACAGAAATGCATTTCCCCTTAGATTGTAAAACAATATAAGATAACAGCAGCAATACTTTACTTTTAACCAAAAAGCATTTTCCGATTATAACTTGCCGTGGCAACACATTCTGAGATTAAAAAAAGGATTAAAAAATATTTTTTTTTATAGCTAATCACTTGATTGAGAAGCATAACTTAGACCGTTATAGTTTTCAAGCGATGGTTATAAGTACAAGGAGACTCTAAGTATACAAACCTCCTTTAATTGCGGCAAATATTTTCTAAAATCAAGAAGGATCATCTTTTTGACCTTTTTAAAAACTCTTCATAGTTGAACATTTGTTTAAATTTGCAACATCTAAAATTGTCAGTGTTATTATAAGGTTCAAGCATTGTCATAAAAGTTAGATCTATGGGTTAAAGCATAAACATTTAAATTACCCTTGGTAAGTTTGGGATTTATTGCTAAACCCTCTTTACAAATGTCTCGATGCAACGAGGTTTTGTTAAAAGCGCTATTTAATAACTAATTAAGCCGCTTGAGCAAAGTATTTATTACCAATAGTTAATACCTATGATTATATAACGATATATTTTATCTTTATGTTTTTGGATTTGGTAGCATTTATTTTAATAGTTTTAACGTGTGCATAACATTGTCTATTTAAAGACTTTTCTCAATCAACCATGCATTTAAATTGTCTGTTTACAGACTTCTCTCTATCAACCATGCTTAATAATGTCTATTTAAAAAATTTTCTCAACACGCCATCCTTCTTTGTAGTTTAAATATTTAAGAGATTATTTATCACTTTTTATCCAACTTATTTGTGCCATGAATAGTTTGCTGTGTCTGGCATTATATTTTATACTAAAATAAATACAACGTTAAAAAATACTCATTATTTGGATAAGATTAACTTTTAAAACACATGCAATTTGTATCTATGCGTTCTATAGAGATTTGGTCTACAAACAAGCTCAGAGTTTTAAAAACTAATTTTTAATTATCAACTAACAATAAATTTATTGTTATCCTCATTTATAAAACTGTCTTTAACAAAACATTTTCTTTTTAAGTACGAAAAAGGTGACGCAGCATCAAAGATTTTCAATAATTTAAATCGCTAAATTATACTTTATACAGTCTAAAGACGGTGCATATTAATCAAGGAAAGAAGTTTTATTAAATTTTAAATTCTACTGCAAATCACGTACAAAAATATACATTCGCAAATTAAAAACTCATTTAAATTGAAAAAACGTTGATAACAAGGATAAATGAGCATCTTACGAGTGACAAGCAATTGCATATTTTTAAACATTTAAATTCATCCATTAATTGTAAAACACTAACTAATTATGATTGCTTTCAGATTTTGGATACTGCCTCTACCATTAACAAATTAAAAATAAAAGAAGCACTTCATAGTAAATGGGAAAATCCTTCTTTAAATCCTTCTTAAAAAGTATCCTTCAGAACATTACTCAGAGAAAATTTATGAAATGGTTAGATGTCTGTTCGGAAGAAATGGTTAGGTGTCTGTTCGGAAGAAATGGTTAGGTGTCTGTTCGGAAGAAATGGTTAGATGTCTGTTCGGAAGAAATGGTTAGGTGTCTGTTCGGAAGAAATGGTTAGATGTCTGTTCGGAAGAAATGGTTAGATGTCTGTTCGGAAGAAATGGTTAGGTGTCTGTTCGGAAGAAATGGTTAGATGTCTGTTCGGAAGAAATGGTTAGGTGTCTGTTCGGAAGAAATGGTTAGGTGTCTGTTCGGAAGAAATGGTTAGGTGTCTGTTCGGAAGAAATGGTTAGGTGTCTGTTCGGAAGAAATGGTTAGGTGTCTGTTCGGAAGAAATGGTTAGATGTCTGTTCGGAAGAAATGGTTAGATGTCTGTTAGGAAGAAATGGTTAGGTGTCTGTTCGGAAGAAATGGTTAGGTGTCTGTTCGGAAGAAATGGTTAGGTGTCTGTTCGGAAGAAATGGTTAGGTGTCTGTTCGGAAGAAATGGTTAGGTGTCTGTTCGGAAGAAATGGTTAGGTGTCTGTTCGGAAGAAATGGTTAGGTGTCTGTTCGGAAGAAATGGTTAGGTGTCTGTTCGGAAGAAATGGTTAGATGTCTGTTCGGAAGAAATGGTTAGGTGTCTGTTCGGAAGAAATGGTTAGGTGTCTGTTCGGAAGAAATGGTTAGGTGTCTGTTCGGAAGAAATGGTTAGGTGTCTGTTCGGAAGAAATGGTTAGGTGTCTGTTCGGAAGAAATGGTTAGGTGTCTGTTCGGAAGAAATGGTTAGGTGTCTGTTCGGAAGAAATGGTTAGGTGTCTGTTCGGAAGAAATGGTTAGGTGTCTGTTCGGAAGAAATGGTTAGGTGTCTGTTCGGAAGAAATGGTTAGATGTCTGTTCGGAAGAAATGGTTAGGTGTCTGTTCGGAAGAAATGGTTAGGTGTCTGTTCGGAAGAAATGGTTAGATGTCTGTTCGGAAGAAATGGTTAGGTGTCTGTTCGGAAGAAATGGTTAGGTGTCTGTTCGGAAGAAATGGTTAGGTGTCTGTTCGGAAGAAATGGTTAGGTGTCTGTTCGGAAGAAATAGTGTTGTTGGTCACCTTCGACAAAAGAAAAGCAAACCTCATAGTTTAGATTAAATTTTTTTTGCTAGTTGCTTAATAGGATGGCAACATAGAGTTCGATAAAATTGGTGTAAAAACGATAAAACTTGTGTAAACTATGATAAAACTCGTGTAAAGTACGACAAAACTACTGTAAAGTACAATCAATAAATAACAACAACAACAAAACATTAGTTTAAGAATGAAGCTAGTGAAACGAATTAAATTAGAAAAACTGTTAGAAAGTTACTAGCTAATTTTTAAATGGAAAAAAAAGGTGATTTTTATTAACAGAATATTATTGTCTTTTTTTTTAAAAAAAAGAGGTTATTTAAAAAAAAAAGAAAAAGATCGCTATCAGAAATATTTAAGGAGATAACTTAAATAAAAAATAAAAAAAACGACATTTTTACTCACCCCGTGTTAAAGCCTCATAATAGATGTTTTGTCCCAAGTTTAAAAATAATTAACGTTTTACACATTTTTGATGAATTTATTTTATTATAATTTTATGGATTTGTCCTTTTTTCTTAAATAGCGAAAAATTGGATTTTAGTAATTTATATTTTAAAGAAGAATATTCTCATAATAGACTTCTTAATTAAAGCATTCATTAAATAATAATATTCAATAAAAGTTTATTAAACATACAATAATAACTCATATTATTTTAACATTTATTTTGGTTTTTTCCAAAAACAAAAACCAAAACGTTTTGAAACCTTTATAAAGAGAAAACCAGCATCATAAACTATTATTTTAGTATTGAGGACCTACTGCTGTTTTTTTATATTATTATATAATATTAATATTTCCTACTATTTACTGGTACTTCAGAAGCATTTCTAATAGTTACGCCTCTGAAATAGGTCTGAATTTCCCTAGTTTTTAAGGCATTTTGTTTTTTTGCGCAATCAGTAATTAAAACAAGAAAATTTTTTGCATTAATTTTTGAAATATCTTAAATTAAAATATGTGGTTGAATTTTCGTCCTATTTTTTATGAATATTAAGGCTTATACCAATGGTTTAAAGTTTATTTTGATAAATTCATTTTGTAAATGCTTAAAACTTATTTAGTCCTGCCACCTCTCTTTCCCATCACCACCACACACACATACACGCACCAGTCCCACACCTCTACTAAATTTTTTTTTCTTAATGCGATAGTGTAAACTATTTTTCAATTTAATAATTTTCGCATGAGGACTGAAGAGGTCATCTAAAAAACCTTTACTGGTCTTTTACATTATTTTGATGAGTATAAAATTATTTTTAGATAAAAACAACTTTAGTTAACATTTTACTTGTTTAAATCTAACCGGAACATTTTTTTTATATTGAGCGCAAAAATATTTTATTAATTTGGCGTTTTAAAGCTATTCTTTAACCTTATTATACATTTAATGTATGACGTTTTTCATACTTTTAAATTTTACGAAAGACTTTACGTGTTGAAGTTCATTTCCTTTGACTTTTTTTTACGCCTTAGTAAAACGAAAGCCTTTAATTATAGTAAGTTATAAAATAGCAAGTTTAATACAATTTTATTAATGAATGCCGTTATTGGAAGTCGTATATCACACTAAGCGCAAAAAAAAAATATATTTAAAGTAGCTTAATTCATCAAATAAAACGGCTTAAACCATTTCAAATACTTTTATAAAAGACCATAAATTTTCAGTTAAATTTTTTTTTAGACAGTAGTATTAAAAAAAGCAAGTGTTTTTGGAAGCGACAACGATATTGTTAATCATAAAATAGATGAATTGAAAAGACGCCAGTATCAAAGTTATGTGTACATGACATTAGTCGCTTAAATAACCTATAAACAATATTCACTCAAAACATGATATTTAAACAAATTTGAAAGACATAACAACAATAATATTTAGATTACATGACCAACTGCGAACTTAAAAAGATTTATAGTTCTATTTTATGCGTATACAACGTTTGAAAACATATATCTTTATATTATTTGGTATTCCAAGCAGTAGCAGATGACAACTAAAAAAAAATGAAAGATATTAGCTCAGGCTATTCTTTTGCGTTCAAGCTTATGAGAGTGTTACAAGAGTTTAAATCAACGGTTGATTATATAAAAGGTAGGTCAAGATTGAACAATAATTTTTTCTTCACTCTTTGTAAATATTTTTGTTATGTCATAATGATAAGTTGCATAAAGTAATAATGAAAAACCATAAAATTGCTACGTGTAAATATTATGTAAGCCGGTCTGTAACATCTTTATTTTTATAGATAAAACAGGATACACCTTTATTCATATTACTGTCTCAACGTTTATATAAATATTTTTAACCTATAGAGAAACGGACTACGTTTATAGCTAGTGGACTTGTTCTGGTTGCATCCATAATATTTTTAGCATTATGTATTTTTATCATTGAAATCATTAGAACATTTTCAAGAATAAGAAAGTTTAAACGTAAAAGCTGCATGAAACAAGCTTCGAACGATTTAAATGTGTCACAGTTAGTTCCTACAACTAGCCATATAAAAGAGGCAGGTTTAGATACTTACAATGTTTTAAAACCCGCTTCTACATGTAATAATACTAACAACCCGCTTGTAAGTGAAAGTGAAGAAATAGAAAATTGTGCTAATTGTTCATTGATGAATAGCATGCACGAAACACCAAGGCTTCAAAACGATGAAGCTAAGAAAAAAATACTGGTATGCTTTCATGAAAAAGCTAATTTGAAAGGTAATAGAACTCAGATAAATGTAATCTCAGATTCAGGAATTCAAGGACATATCCAACGCGAAGAAAATTGCCGTTTAAATTCACAAAACCAAAATCATTCCACAGACTCGATAGATTATGCAGAAGAAACTTATCATGAAGAATCTGCATTTCGTTCAAGAAACTTAAGTATTAATAATAATAATTGTTATAATCATGAGTCATTTCCTGATGACTGGAGTACTTTCCACTTTCAGTATTTAAACAACAATTATCCTTTAGATAAAAATAATACGCTAAATTCAAGAAACTTTTCTATAAGCCGTTCGGAATCAGCAGCCAACGAAACTTATTATAGTGACGAAATATCTGTAAATTCAACATTTGATGAAAAAATAAGATACACTCGTAAACTTGGAAGACGCGGAGATGGGTTTTCTTACATAGTTTGTAATGCATAACCTACTGACAGCTGCATTAGAATTATAGAAATATTTATTTTTCAACAACAGTTTAATACAAAATATTTTATTAGATTTTAATAAAAAAAAAAAATCAGTTAGTCGATTGATAAATTTTCTTACAAATATAAGGTTACTAATAGCAACAAAGCGTATTTGTTCATATAAAATAACCACTGATTGTTTTGTTTAAATTATCAGAATTGAATGAAGAAATATATGGATATCTTTTAACTTCAACAATATTGAGTCTTACAATAGATAAACTCTTTTTAAAACTTGCTTTATTAACTATGACGAATAAACGTTTTTACGTCACTGTCATTTTAATTAGCTATTTTTAGCATACAAATTATTTTTTTATGTACGCGCAGCCTAATTAGTAAAACTGTTTAGTTGAAAACGGCTACCATTATTCCCCTCAAAGATTATTATGCTTATTATAAATATCATAAATAATCGTATTAAAAATAACATAAAAATGTAAACATAAAGTAAAATCAGTTTTTGAAACTATACAAACATTGTTCATTGTTGTGATCATTTTGCTTAGAGTTATTTACGCAGGAAGTTCTTGAAACAAAAATAACAATAAAATCGTTTAATATATTTAAATTAATATTTAAAATATCAAATCGAATCCACGTCGCGCTGGGTTTTAATGACAGTTTATAAAAACTAACGCCTATATTCATAAATGCAGCCTACGCTTACAAAAACCCACAATATAGTCATTACTTAATTAATATTAAGTTAATTCAATAATTTCAATTTCAATAAATTCAATAAATCAAATTTTGATCACTTCAATAATATAAGTTTAAAAAAAAAACATTTTCACACTAGTTTGAATTTCCATAGAAAACACTGTTTTGGGTTTCAATCCAAAAAACCGGTTTTTCGTGATAAACAACTCGAGCATTACCTAAAATTGTGATAGTTCAAACAATGGTTCAAACCACGCAACCATTTTTTGTTTACAAATTATTTGAGCAAGACTAAGACTGAATATAAAGCTATAAAATGCAAATTATTTCACTTAAAAATTAAAACCCAGACTGTTGTACGATACGGGTTCAAATCTTGCCAGTACTTATGTACGCAAAAATGTTAGTCAACAACGGACGCTACTTTGAATTAGTCTTAATGACTATTTGTGGCTGTTCTTATGCTTAGTTAACAATATCTTTGGATATAATATTGCATAGAAAAATATAGCATGAAAAATATAGCATGAAAAAAAAAATAATAATAATAAAAAAAAAATAAAAATCGTATTTTTTTTCTAAATTATTGCAAATATTTAATTATAAAAATTTTAATTTAAATATTTGCAATACAATAATTTAGAAAAAAATTACAAATTTAAGAATTTTAAAATGCTTATAATGAACTTTTTATAATACATGCTAATGAAGTGAAAAATTCAATTCATATATATATATATATATATATATATATATATATATATATATATATATATATATATATATATATATATATATATATATATATATATATATATATATATATATATATATATATATATATATATATATATATATATATATATATATATATATATATATATATATATATATATATATATATACATATATATATATATATATATATATATATATACATATATATATATATATATATATATATATATATATATATATATATATATATATATATATATATATATATATATATATATATAGTCTTGCATGTCTCTTGCGTAGCATCAAAAAATATTTCCCATAAACTGTAGTTTTAAAAAGCGCGTTAATAAACCAGACCAGAAAAAGTTTTAAAAATTAAATTTTTTTTTTTAATTGATAGACTGCCTGGCCAAACCAAACCCTCAGTCGATGTAGCAGCACTCTCTTGCGAGTCAGGCTATTTGTCAGTCGTTGTAGCAGCACTCCCTTGCGAGTCATGCTATTTGTCAGTCGATGTAGCAGCATTCCCTTGCGAGTCAGGCTACTTGTCAGTCGATGTAGCAGCACTCCGTTGCGAGTCAGGCTATTTGTCAGTCGATGTAGCAGCACTCCGTTGCGAGTCAGGCTATTTGTCAGTCGATGTAGCAGCACTCCGTTGCGAGTCAAGCTATAAGATAGTCGATGTAGCAACATTTACGCATGTTTAAAAAATGTTTTTTATTAAATCAATAACAAAAACACCACTAATTAAAAAAAACTTTCTAGTCGTTATAATTGCGGTTTTTTAAAAATTTGTTAAAAAACAATTAAATTTAATGTACTTCCGCATAAATTAATTGCTTTGACATTTCGACGACAATCAAAAACAGCTTAAGAGACGAGTAATTAAAATTGTAGTCGTAAGAGACTTTTTTTACATTAAAATGCTCTTAAAGCGACACTATATGAGTATATATATATATATATATATATATATATATATATATATATAGGGTAAAGTAAGTTTAATCAGTGCCGGATCAAGAGGGAGGGCTGGGGGGCTACAGCCCCAGGTTCCGCAAATTTAGGGGCCCCTAAAAATATAAGAGAAACATTTTTTTTTTGTCATTTTTAGGCTCTAGCCCATAAAAAGGCCTCCAAAAACAAAAATGGCCCTGGGTCTCAAAAAGGCTTAATCCGCCACAGAGTCTAATACCGCCGGCGGCTTATACCGCCATTTCATTTTTTAAAGTTGGCTTAAAGAAGATTTAGTGGTGCAATTTAGGAAACATTTTCAGAACTTTTAAGAATCATTTTATAGTTATAAAACATCATATTTTTTTATCTTATACCCATTTTATTGTGGTTTTGACCATTCTTTTTTTATCAGTGATCAAAAAAGTATTGTTTATATCTATACTTGCTCAAAACAATCAATGTTTTATTGTTATTTTTGTTTATTCATGTGCCCAAAACATTATTTGATTTTTGAAAATAAGCAATGTTCAAAATGTAAACAGAAAAAATCCGTTTTACATCAAACATTGATATCTGGCCAATATCCCACACTGGCATGGGCTAATAACGCAACATGTTTATTTTTTTCGATATTAAGATTATATATGTGATGTAATTGCACTCGAAGCTTGCAATTTAATGTTTTTGCTCTCAAATTTACTATAAACTACTGTAATTTAATGATGAAGTTTAAAAAAATGAAGCAAAAAACGTAAATTTTAAAATTCTGTAATAATATTATTTAAGTTGCTGCGCTAATTGTATCAGTTAACGCAAAAATGACTGTTTAGGGAATACCTTTTTCTTTTAAATGTAGTTTTGTCGTTATTATCTTTTCACAAAATAATACATTTTAATATTTTATATAGTATTTGATTTCAATAATTCTTTAATAACATTTAGTTCATTATAGGAAAACCATTATGCGATAAATAGTTAAAATTAAAATTATTCACACTCCAGAGCATAGTTTTAAAAAACTACGCCTCAAGGCGGTGAGGTGTACGCGTTGAATTTTCGCACTAAAGCGTAAGCCTCATTCAAATAATAAAACGTTAGCCTTTATTGGTTCGATGAGGCGCTGAGGCGTTGACCCAGTGAGCACCGGACAAAAAAAGACGTCTTTTGAACGTTCAAAAGACGTCTAAAACGTGTATAAGATGTTTAAAAGACGTATTTTTTACGTCCGTGTCCACTGGGGAAGCGCTGAGGCTTTCCTGAGGCGTCGCCTCAGGGGTTGTCCATTAATTACGTCAACAAAATAGGGGGAATCGGGTCTGAACTTTTTGACAATTGTTGACAAGGGTCAAAAAGTTCAAGGTGGAGGTCATTTAAAGTTGATGTCAACAATTTTTTATTTTTCAGTTTCATTGCTTAAATAACGGAAAATTAGGCTGAGTTTGTATCGTACCTCTTTTGTATAGGAAGGGATGGGGGGTAATAAAAATTAACGTAATTTTATAGGGGGGTCTCTGAAAGTTTGACAAATCTTCAAGAAGGGGAGGTAAAAATTTCAAAAAAACTGTTGACGTGATTAATGGACATCCCCTTATTTACAATGAACCTAAAAAAGCCATGTATGTCGCACGCAAACTTTGTTTTCCCTTATAAGGATATTATTATCCTATTCCGGCCCTCGGAACCCTTCACTGCAAGAAACCCTCTGTCTGGTCTTTTGCGGCATCTTCTTGATTTCTGCGCTGCATCGAGCTTCGATTTTGGGCAGTTCGTAGCTCATCGTATTGCATCGAACTCCGCTTCGGCCATCGATTTTTAGTCTTGCTCCAACAACATTTTTTTAAATAGCATCAAATGTTTTTAAGCATTTTTTTAGTTCTAGCAATACGTTTAGAGTTAATAATTACGAAACAAACAACATAATTAAATTTGATTTCAATTATTGCGTTCATATGGAACGCATTATAAAAATCGATTAATTGAAAGCTAAAATAAGACTTTAAAAAATATTTTAATTTATAGAATTCGTTTTTAGACTTTAATAATATTTTGTTATATACTTATATTATTATGAACAAAATATAGTCTAGTCGGCGTATTTTTACTTTTATTAAGAAAATGAATGTATTATAATGATAATTGTGGATTTAATAAAATTTATAAATATATATCTAAATTATATATTCTGATTTTATATAATTAAACCGTATCTTATACTCATTTGCCCGTATAATTGTATTAACTAATCATTAAATTCATTCCATGGAATTGCAAAATCAATTACGGCTCGCTATGATTGATCATTTCTTTTTTTTCTTTACTATTTTATAAATTTACAGCTTTAAAAATTTATAGCTTGTTTGTATAAATAATATTGTTTTCATCTTACATACTTTTTCTATCCTTTTTTATAAAAATTACTATTTTAACATTTTCTTTTTTCGATATCTTACCTCATCTGAAGCCATAAGATTTAATTGTAAGGTTCAACCTCTAATGGTCCTGAACATATGATCCATCATTTAACGAGAATCCACCATGAGTAAGTCCATCCGCCCTCTTCAGTGCCCGAAAATTCTCTCGGTAAACCTGCTGCATACCTCAAACATTATGTTATGAGGTATGCAGCAGGTCTATCGAGAGAAATTTTGGGCAATGAAGAAAGCAGATAGGCTTTAGTGGATAGGAGAAAACGTTTTAACTTAATAAACTTTTCGGCAATGTGTTTGCTTTTTTTTTGTTTGTTTTGTCTTTGCATTTGATTTTCATAAATACATGCATACAGGGACGTTCGTACAGCCGTATAACATGCATACAGGGCAGTTCCGAGTTGAATAGGGTTATGCGATAATTAAAGTGTAATTGTGATTGTACAGACTTTTATCCCCTGCTTAGGAAACTGTTTAGCCCCCAAACTCGCGGCTATACCATTGTAGTTGAGGATCTTCAGCCCAGCAGAAATCCTAGTATGTTCTCGCTCCTTATGGGTAATTTTAAACCCCCTATATTTACAGCCTCAGTCCTAAAATTGTAGTACCCGGCCTTGAATTACTTGATTAATCTTTATTAAAAATTTAAATTGCAATCATTTTAAATATTTTATTTACATATTTAAATTGCAATCATTTCAAAT